CTTCTCACCAAAGAATCCCTAAAATAATGCTAAAAGACTTCTATTTATATCCCACAAGGGTTAGGGTTTGTTTTTCCTTAATTCTATTTGATTTGGAACCCTTAACCTTATTCTCCTGGCTAAAAACGGATAACAAGTTAGTGATTCCGTGACTGTGCTGCGGCACTATGCTGCAGCGCAGTAGCTACCGGAAAAAGTGTGCCGCGACACAGTAGCTGCTGCCATTTTTCCCTCATCATCCACTGTTCTTCAAAGATGGTGATTTTCGAACTCGATAGCGATGGAATTTGGAAATGTTGTAAACATGAAATGTAGCCCTTGAATTAGCTTTCAACAGTCCAAGAATAGTCTTAAACTAGTTCTACAGCTCAAGATATTCTTAAATTACCAAGGAATGCGCAAGCTGGAACGTAATCTGGAATCTCTCTTACTCAACTTCCATGACTTCTTCAATTCAACTCCGATTCTTGATTCGTTTGTTTCCACTCATCACTCATCCGTTGCCAACATGATTCTTCATCTGAGCATAACGCACTAGTAACTGAAAAACATCAAAAACCCCCGTGACCGTAAAAGGCAATTATGAAAATATTAAGCAACTTTACCAAATTAAGCATAATTTCCCATAATTAATCCCCAAAAACCACTCAATAAATGTGTTTTTTCAAGCTCTTACCGCAAAAACTGTGGGTGATTTCGCAAGTGTATGAAACGTGCAAGTATAAAGTGTATAATATAGATATTGAACCCAAGGGAATTACTATTATCAATTACCAATTAAACTATCCTATTACTATTTGATCAATCAAATTTTATGTAAGAAAAATCCAAATAAAAATAAATTAACAATTGAATTAAAAAAAAGAAAACTGAACAGAGAACAATTAAAATAATCTTTGGGTAAAAACAAGAGACTAGACCTAGGGCATAGACTTTACACTGGCGTGCTGTCGTAGGCACGCAGAATTAAAACCTTCCGAACCTAACTACTGAACTGTAAATAGGGTAAGCAAGGGTCGATCCCACGAAGAGTGTCTAGCCGAATTTTCTTTGATGTGAAAAAGGCTGGGGGTTTTGTGTAAAAACAGAAAACAATTTTAGCAAAAACAAAAACAATTTAATTCGAATTCAATCAAAATGACGAACTTGGTCTTGTCAACATCCACCATCGGAATCTTGCTACTGATCATGTGAAAGATAATCAATTCACACATTGAATATTCACCGTTGGAACTAATTTCCTATTCTCTCTTAATTGTAATAATAGGAAACAAGCAATCCTAATTATCTTACCCCTAAACAACCCTAGACAAGCGCTCAGATTTAATCTAGTGGCAGCCTTAGAATTAGAGAGATCGATGAAGCTAAACACACAAACACAAGCGGTGTATTTAACTTAGTTGAATGTTCTCGTAAGGTTACTAATTCCTGACGCAGCAAATTATAACCCTAATTGCTTCACAAGTTAGAGGGATCAACAATTACGGATTTGATATCAAACTTAGCAGTAGATTCAATAAATAATACACTAGTAGGCCTCCTAGTAAGTAAATGCATCCAATCATGAATATACACAGAATAACATTCAATACTCAAACATGAATTTAACACTAAAAACAGAAAGATCTCACAGTTTATTGATTCCGAGGTTTCCGTTTCGTTCGACCAAGTTACAAAAGTTCTAGCCGGTCATGGCCATCACAAAAAACTCAAGAGAAAGAAAATTCCAGAGAGGAAAAGAGAGAGAGGCGTGGTCCTTCAAACCTCATCTGATCTCCCTTTTAAAATCCATTTTAGAATTGAATCCCACTCAATCTCCTAAAAGAAATATTCTCCTATCCTAAAATAACATTAATCCTAATTTAATTATAATTGGAAATAAAATGAAATAGAGTCATAAAATAGGAAAGTGGTGTTTCCAGCTGTAATTTTGTGCAGCATGTATGCCTTCAAAATGTGCAATAATAGACTGACTTGCATAACAAGTCAGAATGCTCCAGGAGTTGGCAATGCAGGTGCGTCAACTTCAAGTCAGTACAACCTTTATTCAGCCAGTATCTCTAAAAACTCAAAACATTAAGTTCTATATCTCTTTCTTAAAGTTCCACAGCATTTTGAATCATCTCAATCGGAGCTCGGATGAGAGAATTATGCCCAGAATACGAAGCAGTGACGAAACTGTCCGAATTCCCCTAATTAATTCCGTTTTTCAATTAACACCTCCATTTGCTTCCTAAACCAAATAAAGTAATAAGAGTACAATTAGGAAACAAATACATATAAAGACTAAACATTAAGGGGGTTAATATGACATTTTGCATTCCCATCAACACCAACTCTTATTCATATGTATCGATCTCTTGTGCTAATTTTATTAAGCTTTCCTACAGGTCAAACTCCCTGAATTTCGATATAATTTCTCTCAAACAATTATCAAATTAACCCCTAATTACTTACCCGAATTATCTCTAATCAGATTTAAGCAATTAGGGATCACTACGCTCTATGGAATTTACAAAACCTCACAGGCCGCAGTAACCTATCTCTAGCGTTCGCTCAACCTATGGTTTTACTACCGTAGACCAACTAAGTATCATCTCTCCATCAAAACAGTCCACTGGTTCCTTCCATTTGGGCCCTTAAGAATCAAAAGCATTAGGAAAATAGTAAAAATTAGGAAGAATTCAATAAACATTAACAATCAAGAATCAATACATAAATAAGAGATTGGGCTACATCTTAGCCCTAGAGAATAAAATTAGTTCATAATAAACATGAAAGAAACAATCATATATTAAAAACATTCACATGAGTTTAAAGGAAAAGAATAGGGAAAACATCTCTCTATGTGAATCAAAGCCCAGAATTTCCATTCATCACTCATTCTGTTTCCAATGTGATTCTTGATCCGAGCATAACATTTAAGCACTAGTGACCTGAAAAACACTCAAAAATACCCGTGATCCCGTAAAAGGCAATATTGAAAATATAAGCAACTTTACCAAATTAAGCCTAATTCCCACAATAATCCCCCAAAACCACTAACTAAATGTGATTTTCAAGCTCTTATCACAACCCCCAACCAGCTTCTTGATAGTCCCTAATAAGTAAGCAATATAACAAGCCTTTAGCTTGAAAACACAAACAAAATAAAGTCTATATCTAAAAAATCTAATAACTTCCCTTGTAGTGTCACGGTTGCATTAGCATATGCCACAAGCCTTCAAACCCTAGGCGGCCCTAGTTGGACGAGTTATAGTCTCGTGAGGGTTCCAGCAATGATACCCACAAACATCCTAACCTAACCTCCACTAGACTCAAAACTAAAGACTCAAACTAAATTTTAGGATTCATACATAAATCGTCTCAAAAATTGTGTCAATGTGAGCAAATCAAATAATTAACAACATGCAAATGCAAAGAATAAGTGAATTTCAACTACACTTTTGTTATTGTCTCTCCATAATCATTCACAAACCATTCATCCAAAAGCCCAGATGATTTTATGCATAGCTTCCATAGGCAAAGTACGAAAATAAAACAAATGTGCAATCAAACTCCATAGGCTCACTTTTCAAACCACTCTCCACCAATGTAGAATCCAATCACTACCTCGGATCATTAGGTCTTTTTCATGGTTGTAACGTTAGGCTAGGGTAATGGTTTATGAAAGAACGGAAAGGATTTTTTAACAAAATGTAAGAGACTTAATATTTTACAGTAAATGACCATGAACAATCTCTTTCTTGCTTCCCTTCTCATTCACCCTTTACCCTTTCACATTGATTGAACTATTCCTTCCAACATTAGCACAAACCCTCATGTAATGTACCTCATTTCAAGTTCTTCTCCCCAGTTGCTTCTTCCTATTTTTCTGCAAATTTTTTTTTCTTTTTTTTTTTAAGGAAGATTGTAACTCAAAATAAAATTCGTCTACCCCACCTTGCTTCTACTATCATCATTTTTTTTTCCACAACCCCCAACCTATCTCATTGCACATACTCAGGTTGTGGTCCAAAAAATATATTCATTTTCTTCTACCACAGTTCTTTTCATGAGTTTTTCTTATAAGGTCACCCTAAATTAAGTCTCTCACAATAAGATGGGTCAGAAAGTGTTTTAGGCTTCATCGTCACGGTGATATATAGTAGGTTTACAACAACAAAAAGAAGGCTTACCAAGTGTATATATAGGCTCAAAGGGTTGCCTAGGGATAAAATAATATAGGTTGGCTTGAAAGGCTCAATCGCTCCAAAGAAAATTGCCTAAATCATATCCTAAGTAATGCAGATTCTAGGATTTTGCCTCAAGTGGTTATCAAATGAGTTCTAGAGTTTATGCCCAATTTTCATAACAAAAATTATTGCCCATAAAAAACACACATAAAACGTCTTTATTCAACCAATCAAAACCATTCCCAAGAGAGTCATAACTAAATGCAATTGTTATCTACTATCATCTTTACATTATGCAAAAGTTAATAAAATCTCAATGTTACAAATTCACTATCATAGTCTTATCATTGACTTATGTATGAAAACCATACCTAAAACAATTTCACCCAAAAGCTTTTAAAGAGATAATTCAAAGCACAAAGCAATTTGACCATAAGAAAATATTCCTTACCCACCACGTTAGAGATGATCATTGTCCTCAATATGTAGAGAGAACAATGACACTACCTTTCGTGCACAACATTTATGTGGAGATAATCTTGTGAAGGCATGCATATTGCTTGTCGTATCCAATAGTCATCGAGAATCTAATCAAAAAGAAAACAAACTATTTGCCATGCTTGGCCAATTTAGTGTGCATAACGAAACTTATGGGTTAAACAAAAACAACTAACATATCAAACCAAACCAAAGTTATCACAACTTAACACATTAAAAAAAAAATCTAAAATAAATTCAAAACAAAAACCAAAATTAAAGTAAAAAGCTTCGGTTGCCTCCCAAGAAGCGCTTTATTAGAGTCGTAAGCTCGACTTTTCAAATCCTTCAATCTGGATCATTGAGGAAAATCCAAACCCTTCTATCCTTAATGCCACCATCTTCATAAAGCTTCAATTGCTCTCTTTCCCTCTTATTCTCAATTTCCTCCTCCAACATCCTAAAATTGACAACACATTTTTCTAGGGGTAAACGAGGGTATTTTTCTTCTAAGGTCGCAGCTACTTTATCATCAAGGATGCTAATCTCAAAGCAAGTATCTAACTTGGGTGGACATTTCATAGTATCAAAAACATTAAATTCAACTTGTTCATCCTCTACCCTCAAGATTAATTTTCCTTTATGAACATCTATTAGCGTTTTACCCGTAGCTAGAAAAGGTCTTCCTAGAATTAGAGGTACTTCCCGATCTTCTTCCATGTCAAGAATAATAAAATCCACTGGGAAAATCAACTTATCTACCTTGATCAATACTTCTTCTACTACTCCCCTGGGGTATTTTATAGACCTATCAGCTAGTTGAAGATGGACTATGGTTGGTTTTACTTCCCTTAGGCCTAGTTTCTTATAAATCGAAAATGGCATGAGGTTAACACTAGCCCCTAGGTCACATAAAACTTTATCAAAATGAACATTACCTATTGTGCAAGGAATTGTGAAACTTCCTGGATCTCTGAGATTTTGTGGTAATTTCTTCAATAACAATGTGCTACACTCTTCCGTAAGCATCACCGCCTCATGTTCTTCAAATCTCCTCTTTTTGGTGATAATCTCCTTCAGAAACTTCGCGTACTTCGGCATTTGCTCCAACATGTCTACAAAAGGAATGTTAATATGTAAAGTTCTAAACATGTCCATAAACTTACCAAATTACTTTCCAATCTCTATTCTTGCACTCTGTGAGGATACAGGAGTGTCAAGTCATTGTTTGTCGAAGCTTGGGTATTTTTGACATTTTTTTCTCCTGTGCCCTCTTTTTCTTCTTCGAGTTTTTCCTTTGTTTCTTTTTCCTTCCTTACCTCCTTCAACTCCTTACCACTTCTCAGTATGACAACATTAACTCTCTCCTTCGGATTCTTCTCTGTATCGCTTGACAATGTCCCTTAAACTCTTCCCGCTAAAATATTACGAATTTGCCCAATTTGAGTCTCAAGGTTCCTAATAGAGGCTGATTGATTTTGAACCAGGACGTTAGTCTTCTCAAACCTCTTGCTTGTCTCTTTAATGTACTTGGTCAACACATTCTCTAAATTAGATTTTGGCTCTTGAGGTTGAAAAACAGGAGCTTGTTTTTGTTCATTGTTGTTGCTCCATGAAAAGTACGGGTGTTTCCTCCATGCTGGATTATATGTATTAGAATATGGATTCCCTTGCCCCCTTTGGAAATTATTGACGTAATTGGCTTGTTCAGTCTGAGCAAACGGGTTCCCTTCTTGGCAATCCTTCGATGAATGATTTCCTGCACAAAGGTCACATATTAGAGAAGAAGATTCAATAGCATTTACCTTTAGAGCAACTCCCAATTGCTTTTGAATGGCAAAGAGTTAAGCAGCCAATGCGGTGTAACCATCAACTTCATGCACTCCCACTACTTTCCTCGTTGAATTTCTCTCTGCAGTCCTCATATAGTTATTGTTCGCCATCAATTCAATCAGATTGTATGTGTCCTCTGGCGTTTTATTGTTCAAAGCTCCCCCACTTGCAGCATCAATCATAGCTTGAATAGTTGGTAGCAACCCTTGGTAGAACGTTTGCACTTGCGACCAGAGTGGTAAACCATGGTGAGGGAACCTCCATAAGAGATCCTTATACCTTTCCCATGCTTCATACAATGACTCTGAATCTTGTTGGTAAAAGTTCGTAATCTCACTCCTCAGCTTGGCAAACTTGGCAGGTGGAAAATATTTAGTGAGGAATGCTTGAGCTAACTCGTTCTAGGTTGTGGTGCTTCCAGATTGCAGAGAAGTCAACCAAGCCTTGGCTTTATCCCGAAGAGAGAATGGGAAAAGCCTTAGCCTAATTGCATCATCGAATACTCCATTATGCCTGAATGTGTCGCATAACTCTAGAAAATTTGCGATATGCAGGTTGGGATCATCAGGAGGTAACCCATCGAATTAGACTAACTGCTAAATCATTCCACTAATTGTTGGCTTAATCTTAAAATTATTTGCTTGAACGGGTGGTCTCCTGATGCTAGAATAGCACCCATTAATAGTAGGATTAGCATAGTCCTTCAATGCTCTTTGAACCACTACTTCTCCACCCATTGCATTTCCTCCTAAGGTATCCTCATTCTTATTCTCTTGATTTTCCATATTGGGATTGACAATTCCTGTGTTAGCCATTGTTGTAGAATTTCGCAAGTGTACAAAATCGTGCAAGTAATAAAGTGTATAAAATATGGATATCAAACCCAAGGTAATTACTATTATCAATTACCAATTAAACTATCCTATTACTATTTGATCAATCCAAATTTTATGAAAGAAGAATCTAAATTAAATAAAATTAACAATTGAATTTAAGAAGAAAACTGAAAAGAGAACAATTAAAATAAACCTTTGGGTAAAAACAAGATGACTAGACCTATAGGGTATAGACTTTACACCAACTCTTATTCATAAGTATCGATCTCTTATGCTAATTTTATTAAGCTCTTCCTACTGGTCAAACTCCATAAATTTCCAATAACTTTCTCTCAAACAATTATCAAATTAACCCCTAATTACTAACCCGAATTATATCTAATCAGATTTAAGCAATTGGAGATCATTACGCCCTATGGAGTTTACCAAAACCTCATAAGTCGTGGTAACCTATCTCCAGCATTCGGTCAACCTATGGTTTTACTACCGCAGACAGACTAAGTATCATCTCTCAATCTCAACCGAGTCCATTAGTTCATTCAATTCTTGGGCCCTTAAGAATCAAAAGCATTAGATATAATAGTAAAACTTAGGACGAATTCTTAATAAAAATTAACAATAAAAGATCAATACATAATTAAGAGATTGGGCTACATCTTAGCCCTAGAGAATAAATTTAGTTCATAATAAACATGAAAGAAACAATCATATTTATTAAAACATTCATCATGAGTTTACAAGAAAAGAATAAGGAAAACTTCTCTCTATTGTGAATCAAAGCCCCAGAATTTCTGTTACTTCTCTTCTCTCTAGATTTTTCTCCCTTTCTTCTCACCAAAGAATCCCTAAAACAATGCTAAAAGACTTCTATTTATATCCCACAAGGGTTAGGGTTTGTTTTTCCTTAATTCTATTTGATTTGGAACCCTTAGCCCTATTATCCTAGCTAAAAATGGATAACAAGTTAATGAATTCCATGACTGTGCCGTGGCACTGTGCTGCAGCACAGTAGCTACTAGAAAAACTGTGCCGTGGCACAGTAGCTGCTGCCCTTTTCCCACATCATTCCACTGTTCTTCAAAGATGTTGATTTTTGAACTCAATAACGATGGAATTTGACAATTTATAAACATATGAAATGTAGCCCTTTGAATCAGCTTTCCAACAGTCCAAGAATAGTCTTAATCAGAGTTTTACATCAAGATATTCTCAAAATACTGAGGCATGCGCAAGCTGGAATGTAATCTGGAATCTTCTCCTTACTTCAACTTCCATAACTTCTTCAATTCAACTCTGATTCTTGATCCGTTTGTTTCCGCTCTTCCCTCATTCCATTGCCAACATGATTCTTCATCCGGCATAACGTTTAAGCACTAGTAACCTGAAAAACACTCAAAAACACCCATGATCCCGTAAAAGGCAATTATGAAAATATTAAGCAACTTTACCAAATTAAGCCTAATTTCCCACAATTAATCCCCAAAAACTGCTCACTAAATGTGTATTTTCAAGCTCTTATCCCAACCCACAACCGGCTTCTTGCTAGTCCCTAGCAAGCTAAGCGATAGAACAAGTCTTTTAGCTTGAAAACACAGACAAAATAAAGTCTACGTTATCCTAAATCACTTGCGTAGATTGCCATGGTTGCATTTAGCGTATGTAACAAGCCTTTAAACCCCTAGGCTGCCCTAGTTGGACGAGATATAGTCTTGTGAGGGTTTCCAATGATGATACCCACAAACATCCTAACCTAACCTCACCTAGACTCAAAACTAAAGACTCAAAAAAACATTTAGGATTCATATATATAATCGTCTCAAAAATTGTGTCAACGTGAACAAATTGAATAATTAGCAACACGCAAATGCAAAGAATAAGTGAATTTCAACTACACTTTTGTTATTAACTCTCTCATAATCATTGACAAACCATTCATCCAAAACCCAGATGATTTTATGCATAGCTTCCATAGGCAAAGTACGAAAATAAAACAAATGTGCAATCAAACTCCATAGGCTCACTTTTCAAACCACTCTCCACTAATGTAGAATCCAATCACTACCTCGGATCATTAGGTCTTTTTCATGGTTGTAACGTTAGGCTAGGGTAATGGTTTATGAAAGAACGGAAAGGAATTTTTAACAAAATGTAAGAGACTTAATATTTTTCAGTAAATGACCATTAACAATGTCTTTCTTGCTTCCCTTCTCATTCACCCTCTACCTTTTCACATTGATTGAACTCTTCCTTCCAACATTAGCACAAACCCTCATGTAATGTACCTCATTTCAAGTTCTTCCCTCCAATTACTTCTTCCTATTTTTCTGCAAAAATTTTTTATTTTTTATTTTTTAAGAAAGATAGTAACTCAAAACAAAATTCGTCTACCCCACCTTGCTTCTACTATCATCATTTTTTTTCCACAACCCCTAACCTATCTCATTGCACATAATCAGAATGTGGTCCAAAAAATATATGCATATTCTTCTACCACACTTCTTTTAATGAGTTTTTCTTATAAGGTCACCCTAAAATAAGTCTCTCGCAATAAGATGGGTCGGAAAGTGTTTTAGGCTTCATCATCAAGGTGCAATATAGTAGGTTTACAACAAAAAAAAAAAAATAAGGCTTACCAAGTGTATATATAGGCTCAAAGGGTTAACAAGGATAAAATAATATAGGTTGGCTTGAAAGGCTCAATCGTTCCAAAGAAAATTGCCTAAATCATATCCTAAGCAATGCAGATTCTAGGATTTCACCTCAAGTGGTTATCAAATGAGTTCTAAAGTTTATGCCCAATTTTCACAAAAAAATTGTTGCCCATAAAAAACACACATAAAACGTCTCTAAGTTTTCGAATTATTCAACCAATCAAACCCATTCCCAAGAGATTCATAACTAAATGCAATTGTCATCTACTATTATCTTTACATTACACGAAAGTTAATCAAATCTCAATATTACAAATTCAGTATCATGGTCTTATCATTGACTTGTGTATGAGAACCATACCTAAAAAAATTTCACCCAAGAGCTTTTAAGGAGATAATTCAAAGCAAAAGATATTCAAAGATGTCCATCGAATGAAACTAAATTTGGCCATAAAAAAAAAAAAAAAAAAATTCCTTACCCCTAACGTTAGAGATGAACATTGTCCTCAATGTGCAAAGAGAACAACTACAATGCCCTTCGTGTTCAAGATGAACGTGGAGATAATCGCGTGAAGGCATGCATAACGTTTGTCGTGTCCAATAGTCATTGGCAATCTAGTAAAAAAAAAACAAACTATGTGCCTATCTTGGCCAATTTAGTGTGCATAACAGAAATAATGGGTGAAACATAAACAACTAACATATCAAACCAAACCAAAGTTATCACAACTTACACATTAAACGAAAATCTAAAATAAATTCAAAACAAATCCCACATATCAAGTCTGCTAAG